GAGTTCAAAACTTTGCGCACACGAGTCACATCATCGGTGTTTGTCGAAGTCGAAGGTCTTCTAGCACGGTCTTTATCAGCGACCTCTTCCCGGCCCTCCAAAGAGGCCTGGTGCCACCGAAACACACAACCTCTTGCTAAAGCAACACCTGGGTAAGCCTGCTTGATCTTAGCAAACGTCTCTGTCGCAGATTTACCGAGTTTCACACATAATTTAATCGCGCACCTCTGCTCTAACGAACGCTGCATTTTCTGGTTGCACCACTCACAGAAACACGTCGCGCGAAAATGCCTGTCCTGACTCTCCAAGTGCTCGAAGACAACTGACCAGCCTAGAGATGATCGATATATCGGTACCGGCGACCTTTCCCGGTGACTTGAATGGTCGCCGTTAGTCCCGGCGACCTGATTCTCCAAGAAGCAGCGACCCAGATCGCTGTTTGGAAGTATCGGTATCGGTAACCACTGATCGGTAGCTGTAACGCTGTTTCGGTCGCGGTCGCTGCCAGGAAGCATATACACATCGCGTTCGCGATCATCGCGCGGGAAGTACAGGGTCGCTACAGAGTAGCCTAACCTATTTTGTTAGTTTTTATTGTTATTGTTGTGAGTTCCTGTTTCATAGAAAAATGTTTCGTTTATTAAGCAATGTTTAACATATAAAAGAAGCATTTTTATACTGCATTTGTTATGTTTTAAAAGTTTTATTTTGACTGGTAAAATAGTATTTTGTTTTACCTTTTAAGATTCATAGAAAGATTTTTTTATGATTCTGTGCTCAATATTGTTAAAAACAAAAACCTTAAATATAGTTTAATTCAAGGAACCTGAACATCTACACCTCGTTAATATCAATGGATAACCGCCGCCAAATATCGAGTAATTTAATCAGCGCCAGGGAGTCGCTGGCTGCTGGCAGCGACCATAGATAAGCAGTGACCTAAAGCGCTGCTAAATCTACCGGCGACTTTAAGGTCGCTGTCACCGGTATCCCGGCGACTTGCAGGTCGCTGCTAAGATCATCTCTAGACCAGCCGCTCATTTGTTAGCTAGGAAGGCCCTCTACCGAATCCAGTCGGTGCGCGCACACTCCGAAGTACAGTCATGGCGGAAGAAAATGAGTCCTATTACTTTCCGGACAAACCCTGTAATGTCACTGTATCACCATCTGATGTGATTGGTACTCCTTGTGAATGGATCAACGTACACGCTTACTCTACTGCCTGATACTGGGGTTCCGAAGGGGGTTCCACTTTAGGGCCTATCCCGTTTATTTTCTATATCAAATTGAGATAGTATGAGACGATGCGCTGTTCACAGTGTAAGCAGATTATGCATCAATAGTGGACTCGAATAAACTGGAAAATGTTTCAAGTGCTACATGCAATGGGGTGACTGGTTTTCTAAGCATTAATTGTATTGGAACGCTGACAAGACCAGTCTAATTAGGTTTCATAATCCGCATAAGAAGATAAACATCCCTGACGTTAAACGTAGAAATGCGTCATTGCATTTCACAACTGATAAGTTTCTGGGAATATTTCTAGACGACAAGTTAAATTTCAGAATTCCTTGCGACTACCTGGTTTCGCAACTCAATTGTCACTCTTACTTGTTTAGAAACTTCAGTTTGTTTCTGTCTGAAAGTTAGCTGGTGGGAATATACTACGGTCTTGGGGAGTCTAGACTTAGATATTGTATTTGTTTTTGGGGTGGTTCTTCAATAGCCAATTGTCAGATCAATGGCGTGGGTGTGTATCACTCAAAGTAATAAATAACTTCTTGAACATTTTGTAATTTTATACATTCTTTGGTGCTTCACGAGTTGGCGTCATACGTATTCTGGAACAGGACAGAAATGTTTACATACAGTAGCCACAAATCAGAGTAATAGTATACACGCCGACTTTTCAAAATTTACAGTATGAAATAAATCGCCAAATGTACTTGGACCCAAGATTCTTAACATTCTTCCTAAAGAAATGCAAGGAGCACATTAAACTCCCCTGTTTCAAGGAACCTTTAATAGACAAATATCTGTGATTTTGTTATTGTGTAAATGTTATTTATTGTCTTATTTTATTCATTGTTCTGTTATGTCTATGTATATAGCTGTTCTATTGACGACTCTTATACAAACTTTATCCAAGGAAAAAAATGACTATTATTATTTTGCTTGCTCTCAGATATGTATCTGATACGCGGACTTTGTCAAGCGTATCTTTTTTATGTCTGTATCATTTTTTTCTGTTATAATACATCTGTTCCTATAAAGTTTAGTGTCATCATTTTAAAAGATGTTTTGAGGTATGTATCTGTATGCAAGTGTTTGAGGTTCAATGAATTTATGTTTCCGTATTTCCCCGCATTTACAAGGATGAAGCTTGCTGCAGTAATGTGGTCTACAGTTCCTATTTGTTGTTTGCATAATCTGCACCTGCACCTGGTGTTTATTGTTGGTCTTGTATAACCTTCAGTTTCTCTGTATGTATTTCCTCTCATCAGCCAGGCATTTGATGCTGTTTGATCTATACGTGGCTCTGTTAGGTAGTGTGGATGTTAACCATATATAATTTTCTCTTTCTAACTTGTGTTGTCGGTTGTAACATTGTCTGTTGGAATGTATGATTGGTCATTGAGATTCAATGGGAGTAGCTGATGTAAATACATGAATGATGGCTTTATGTTTGTTACTCGTCATTGCCCTTTCTAGAAAATATGTTCTCAAGAACTACCGGGTGACCAATATAAAACTGACGGATTTAACCGCTCCAGACCTTTTCAAGTGGTTTTTCGAAAAATAGGGTTTTTCTCAACAAAGCAAATACTGTAGAGCGGCTAAAGAATAATATAACGTAAGCGATTGAAAATATTTCTCCCGAAACCTACCAAAAAGTAATGGAAAATGTAAGGGCTCAGGTTCTAGAGGCGGACATTTGTCTGATATTATTTTTCATACATAATTTCTAAGCTTCAACAATAGACTAGATGGGCATATTCTATTTCATTTCACAAATATTCAAGATACAAACCAGTCAATTCATTGTATTATTATCATTATTATTATCATCAATATTATTATCACTTAACCTATTATTATAAGTATTTGATGTATTTGCATGAATGATGGCTTTATGTATGTTACTCGTCATTTCCCATTCTAGAAAATATTTCCTGAAGTACTATCATTATCATTATATTCTTATAATTAAAGCTATTATTATATCATAAGTAAAGGCCCTTTTTAGGAAGTTCATACGGTTAGCATAAAATTACGTTTTTTTTCAAATAATTTCTTTTGTTTCAGTGTTTTATATACTACTTTACATATTATTATACAAGGACTCTTGGGAAAAAATATAAAGGATCTTGTTTTTCATTAGACGCAGAGCTCAATGGTTACAAATCTTAAGACGGATGTTTTTACTTTCTATAATTTTATGATAAATATTATTTGTGTAATTTCCTCGGGGCGAGACACAATTATTCAAGAAAATTGACTTCCACTGTGACTATCCCAACGAATTAACTCATATAATTTATTACTTCTGCAGCACATTCCATTTAACATTCATTCTTTATTTACTGATTTATTTCTGTACGCTTCGGTTTGCGGAGCTCTTTATTTCTCATAGGCGAACATCATTGTTGTAGATATAATCACTTTTATTAGAATTCCCGCTGCTGTGAATTTCAAATATTCATTACTTGGAAAATCGATGGAATTATTAGAAGACCTCAAAGTGATATGCTAATTTTCTCTCAACTGTCGCGGCGTACCGTCTGCGGCATTTTCAAGGAGATTATAAGTGATGAATTTTTAGCTATCGTCTTGAAAATGAATACTTTCGTCCCACTCAAATACTCTATGCTGTAACAACGAAAGATTCCAAATCGCAGCTGACACAATTTTGTATGAGGTACGCTGAATAGGATATGCTTTCCGTGACCTTAACCAACAACATACAATGTTACTTCGCGCTTTTTTGCAGTCATCAGTACGTTATAGGTCTAATCATTAGAGACAGACAACGGAAAAGAAACATTCGGCCTAAACCGTACTGGTGTTTGCTAAATACTATGAAATAACGTTGTGTATGGTTACAGAAACAGAAAGCAAACGTATCATAATCAGCCTATGTTTAGTTTATGCAACTTTTGCATGGTACCTCAAAACTCGTAGCACGGTGAGTACTTAGTACTCCGCTGACTGGTGAAGGGTTGTAATGGTTGTTTACGCCTATGCTTTGTCTACGTTTCGATGTCGACGATACGTATACAATATATACAATGATCTATAGGATAACATATGTGAAGTTAAGGCAAATTTCCACCAAACGGACAAAACCGCAACAAAACAACAACTGTGTCGATTTCGACAAAATAAAAACTTTTGTTGCCGAAATAAGAAACATTTTGAAGACTTTGTGTCGCAAGTTTGTGTTTTCGTCAACAACGAAAAGTCCCATCGCCAGGCGGAAAGATCAAAGGGTTTCGGTATTTTGTCTCTGTTTTCGTAAACAGATTTCGCTATGTGGAACAGGTCGGCGACAACAACAGTTCACTATTTTGTTTTGGTATGCGATATGCATGTTGTGACTTGTGTAAATTCATCATACATTTTTATTAAGTGTTTAATCTGTGGTAGGTATGAATTTCGACTATCGCCACTAGCCAGAGTATATTTATTAATTTGTTTTATTGTTGTTTATTTCGAATAAGAATGAGATTTAATTTTCCTGTGTAGAAAATGACCGAAAAAAAGCAATGGACAGTTGAGGAATGCAGCAATTTAATTGAGCTCTACCGAGATCATCCAAACCTATGGAACGCTTCGCATATAGATTACAAAAACCGAATAAAGAAGTATGATTCTCTGAAGGAAATAGCCCAAAGATTTGGAACGAAGTATGAAGAAATTGAACGAAAAATAAAAAATTTAGTTAGCCAGTATCAACGGGAAAGAAGAAACTACAAAAAATTAAAGAAGTCTGGAGCTGGGTACACTTTTAAGGCAAAATGGTTTGATTATTCTGCAATGTGTTTTTTACACGACAAAAACAAACCTAGTAAAGGTAGGCAAGTCGGATTGAATTTTGAGGTAAGTTTTCAGTATTGACATTTTTAAAAAATTAGAAAGAGACTATTAGAACGAACTGAAAAAAAAACATATATTTTCGCAAAAAACAAGAAATAGGGGAAAACATTATTTATGACAATTGGTTTTACAATACTAAGCATATTTTAATTGCCAGGAAACTTGGCCTATTTCTGATATGAAATATTCGCTAAACTCGTCCCTCACTTCTTTGGCATCATGCGGTGATTTTCTTGCTACATTTTTAAGGGGCAATAATGACTGAATTGATTCCCTATCGGTCCTCCACTGTCCTGGAATGATTATTCCGGTATAGAAATCCTCCACATCAAATGAACCAGGCGGAGTATACATATCCTTTGCCTGAGCATTACGGCGTAAATAATTATGCAGAAAAACGCATGCTAGGACCACCTTTTCTGCTTTTGAGGGTTCTACTAGCATAGGTTTTCGAAGTACTCGAAAAACAGATGCTAAATATCCCGAACACGTTTTCGACTACTCTTCTGACCCTGCTTAGACGATAGTTAAAAATTCGTTGTCTTGATCCTCGGTCTTGGTGTCCTGCGTATGGTTTCATGATATTAGTTGTCAACGGAAATGCATCGTCTGCTACTAAAACGTACGGCACATTTTTCTCACGTCCCGGAAGCTGTTTAACTTAAGTGCAGATTTATTTAACGCTTTGGCAAATCCAGTGCTTTTGAAAACTCCACCATCTGATATGCGGCCTTGGCAGCCGACATAAACATAAGTGAAATTGTAGTTCGCATCAACTATAGCAAATAAAACTATACTGAACGTTCCTTTATAGTTAAAGAACTCAGATCCACTAAATTTTGGCGATTGGATAACAATATGTTTGCCGTCCATACTTCCGATGCACATTGGAAAATTCCAAATATTTTGAAAATCTTTTGCCACTTTTACCCATTCTTCGGATGTCTTTGGAGCCTGAAACAAATATATATACATACAAACCATTACACTATATATATATATAACTTGAGACGTGGTCATTGTCGTCTAGACCAGTTAGGTGAAAAATTAAAGCTTCCGCCTTTTGTTGGGTACTTCGACAAAATTTAAGCAAAGAGGACTCTTTATACTTTTTTTAATTCTCTTTAGCTTTCAATGGACTTTGCCATCATCATCAGGAGCTGCAATTACAATGATAACAGTAGCAACAAAAGTGTAAAATGAATTTAAATTGACTCAACTTACAGTAGTATGTGAGGATGTTGCTAATTGTTGTTTTCGTATAGGATGAGGGAAACGTCCAGTAACATGGTCAGAGCTGGATACATGGTACAATGGTTAAAATTATATAAAATATGACAAGACAAGATTAAAAATTATTTAGAAAACATTAGAGCATTACGTCGTGAAGCCACTTGATGATTGCACAAAATGGTGGTCATGGAATAATGAGTGAGATGAACCTTTGACAGAAGGCCGAAGGTTGTCAATGTCTGTGTTGAAAGATGGAACGAATTGTGGGCGTGTGCCAAAACGTTGCCAAATCACTTCAGATGATGTGATTTTCAGAATGTTATGTAAGAAATTGTTAAACCGACCAGAGGCAGTTGAATAAACTATATTTTAATTAGTGGGAATTTTAAATTAATAATTATTAATAAATCGTGAGAAGAGAATTATTAGATTTTGAGTGGAATGAAATTTGTTGGTGGAATCGGCCAAAACACAGATTATATTTATGGTTGTGAAAAGTCGAAATTTGGGGAGATATGTAAGTTCTCCAATTTTTCGCAGTTTAGCAAATATGAGTAAATGACACTCAGTTGTTTAATATCTGTCTTTTTGTTGATACAGTTGTTATTCATGAAAATGTGGCACATTTCCAGGAATAAACGTTTGGAAAGGTGTTTTTCTTTATCAAGAACTTTGATACTTGTGTAATTCATATATATATATATATATACAAACCACTACCCAGCAAAGCTTAGCATGATTTAATAATATTAATTAATTATATATTATCACGGTATAAATAGAAAATATTCTCCTGAGCAACCAAAAAAAAAAAAATCAAAACTATACAGGGTTTTTCCATTTAAAATATCAAAAACTATGATAATATAATTGTTTTATCTTCCGATTGTCTGCGCCACACCTGCCACACCTCTTTTCACAATAAAAATATTTTTTTTGTTCTCAAGAGTTGCTAAAAAAATGGCCTCGTCTTTTTCTCACCTTCGGCCATTGGTTTTTGATTTTTAAAAATATAATTATTTCTTCACGTCCTGTTATGCATCTTTATGAAGTAGGCAGATGCAAATAAATTTATTTTATTGATTTTGAGATATTACAAAAATAATGGTTATTTTGAAAAAGAAGCTGCTTAACTTTATTTAAACTTCTTATTTTCGACATTCTGTGTCTTTTTCAACCAAGTATTAATGTCCTGCTACTGCAGAGTGAACCACCCTATATATTAATACTAAATTTATTATTTCAGGATAGCAACCCATCAAGCAGTGAAGACAGTGATGACAATGAGATTCAAACATGTGAACTGACACGTAGTGCCAATGAGAGTATGCATGAATTGGATGCTAATGTTTCATACGTTCAGATAGAAAACCAGGAGCAGGAGATCTGGGAGCAAAACATAGAACAACAAGGGTCTTCGGTGTCTGACGTTCTGAATTCACCAGAAACTGACCCATTTAAAACACCAAACACAAAAGAGGGCACAAAAAACGACCATCTAAACAGCATTTATTATCAGCTCCGAAAGCTGCTAAGAAGAGTTCCAAACTAGTAGATACTGTTAATACGAGTACTTCTGCTAAAGAAGCATTTGAAATGATGAAATCCGTGTATCAGAAAACACAGACATCCGAAACACGTGACAAATACTCAATATTAGGTGAACTAGTAGGACATACAATACGTAACTTGAAAACAGATTTTGCAAAGACTACAGTTGAACACCAAATACGTACATAATATTTTATTAGATGCCCAAATTGGAAAATATGACTTTCCTCAACATTCTTCTCTTACACGTTATTATTCATATACTGCACCTTCTGATAATAGTGTCCCGTCAGCGTCGGCGTCTCCTCATTCTGAAGAAGCTCATACTTATGAAACTAATGATGGCTTGAGCTGGGCAATAGCAAACTCATTTGGTACAAACAATAAATAAATGAAGCTGCGATAATATTTACTCATGTGAAAGATGATATATATTTAGTTTATGTAAACATTTGAAAATAAAGATTTTTGTATTACATTTGTACTTACATTAACATATTCCTGTAGAACCTCACAAAGAGCATCACATACTTCCGGCACAATTCGTGATATTGAAGAACTAGAGACTTTAAACATATACATTAAACTTTTAAAACTATCACCAGTAGCTAAAAATCTTAAGGTTATTGCCAATCGATCTTTCACAGATATAGCATCTCGGTAATTTGTATTCTGTTTGCAAATTTTTGGTCCCAGTAGATTTAACAAGTTCTCAAATTCGTGATTGGACATTCTTACAAAATTATGAAATGACGATCTCAGTCCTCCACTTATTCCTATTTCATCATCTACCAAATCTGCCATAATTTTGTCCGTTCCATAATCTAGTCGTCTTCTTAAGAATGATCTCATCCAGTATCTTGGTCTTTTTTGCTTTCGCTTCTTTTGCTCAAAAGATTCGATTATAAAAAAACCGCAAACGAAAGAAAACACTTCAAAACAAAACACGCGAAAGACTAGTTTTTTTGTTTGTTTGGTGGAATTCGAGTTTCGAGTTTGTATTCGAAGCTACAACAAGATTATTGTTTCTGTTTTTGAAACTAAAACTAGTTGCAAGCGAGTCCGTTTGGTGGAAATCCGCCTTTTAGGTTTACTGGCAACTACGTATACAAGCATGACTAGCGCGCTAAAAAGAATAAAATCGATGAACTAGGGTTCATTTTGCTTGAAAACGGAAGAAAATATTCTGTCAAGTGTCACATCTGTATGAAAAGTTGTTTTAGCAATTTGTACTTGCCTAATAGAAGCGCATATAACACTAGAAACTATAGCAAGAAGAAGTAGTAAGAAAGCACGTGAAGGGTACCGGGGAATAACGATAATAGTCCATCCGGACTGATTTCGAGAAAAACGGTAATTAAGGTTTACTTACTTGTTGGAAAGTAAAATTGATGAAAAAATAAGTCGTAAAGAATATCTTTGCTAAACAGTGTGCTTATTGGTAAAATAGTTTCTACAAAATGAACGTTTACTCAAAACTAGTAACGTAACAAACAAGCGATAATGTTCAACTCTGGGCTCGTGCCACTCCGCTGCTTTAAGCATCTATTGGCTGCTCATCGACATATTCATCACTGCTATCTTTTGGATGATCAAGAGATATTAACTGTTGATAAAGTGCCCTGTCATCTGCATTCTCTAGAAATTTGGCCAGATCCTCCAGATTCTTCCATTTCTTACTTTCAATTGGGATTGGGCCTGTGTAAAGTTTTCTCAATAAATCTTCTTCTCGTTTTTGTTGATCTTTTTGCTTTTTTTTAGATTCTTTCGAATTATCTTATCAAATTTAGAACTAGCGTATAGGTCCATGTACGTCGATTTGTGAAAAACTAGGGGAGGATTCTGTTTACAAAACTTGAGCATTCCTGACTGGTCGGGTTGGAAAGGTGCACTTCGTTGAACAAATCGCCATAAAAACGTACTCCAATCTCGAATATCTAAATTTTTGCCACAATCAATAACTTCAAATGGTGTAGGTTTCACAGGGCAATTTTTCAATTTATCTCTCCAGTCATCCGGTACTTCAGTGTATGCTCTTTGGTTCATGAGACTCATATCTCTATCTCACTCGAGGTATGAACGCCCCCTGATTGGGAATATTACATTCACAGTAATAAAAGTTTTTATTTTGCCCTGCACAGGAGTCACAGGAAATGGCAAGTTTTTTTACTTCCATAGGCAGGATGTTATAAAAAAAGTGATGCAGCATAGAACAGACATCGTTAGCTCCTTTCTTAACAATAGATTCATCGTAGGTATAAAAGACAGAATGTGGATGTTAAAACTGATGAAATTTAGTTGCCGCTTATAGTAAACATCGTTTGTCGTAATATTTGAACAGGGCAAGTTTTTTTGGCAATCCATCGTGATGCTTTCGATAGAGGGGAACTTCGAGGCACGTTTGCGCTAAGTTCTCTTTAGACTGAAAAATCGCTCATTCCTTTTTTGATGTAGTGTCTTCTCAAGTATCTTTTTCTCCAAATTATACTTTAGGTCCAGTCCGAAGACATCACTTTGTTTATTTTCTATGTAGTCCGGCCCTGGATTACTAGTCGCAACCAAGTTAAAAGACAAGAGATCGCCGCTCCCATCTCGTCGCTCTCCGGTCTTGCACGTTGAGTGTTGAGTCATTCGGTTTTTGGTGTTACAGTCGTACGGTCGCCCGGCTTGTTTGTGCGTTAGGAAACACGTAAAACATGCGATTCCTTTTCAAATCGGTTTAGTGCTTGGTGAGTAGCTTGGTAAGTAGGTACAACAATGGGTTGTTTTGATGCTCATCTAGTAGCACGTTATATATAATATAAGATATACTTAGCAGAAAACCATGGAAGAAAAACCTAGCGGCAGGGACCACGTCAATGGTTCCATGAAATTTCAGTTTTTTTAAATTGGCGGCTGCGCCAGAAAATTAGTATACACATATCATATATGCACATTTTTAAAGAAATATGCACAATTTCTATTGACATCTTTGCACAATTCAAAATCGAGAACAGCACTGTCAAGGTCTCGTTCGCGGGGTAACATCAGTCGTAGTCGATCACCGAGCGTGTCGAGGCGACGTAGAGAGAGACGAGAATATGTGCGGGAAAAAACCAGAATTCATCAGCCCAGCTGATAATGCACAGAATCAGGTAGGCCTGGCTGGTCGTTCCCCGTGCGGGCTGGAAGCTCAGGTACTGACAGGGCCGGATTTGGGAGCGGCGCCAATAACGCAAAACTGTATGGACGATGTTTTGATACTCGACGATGCCGATTGTATGCCATTATCAGAGGACACATTAAATATTCTGGGTGCCGATCCTGAAAAGGCTAATACGTCTAGTTTTAAACTTCACGGTGCCCTAGCCTCCAGGTGGTCCCATATTTTGGCAAAGGGGCTATCCGCCGAAGATATTTCTATCCTTAGCGAAAAACAAAATGTGCCATCTAATTTCGCTTTATCACGTCCTCCAAAAGTAAATCCCGAAGTGAAAGCTATTCTTTCATCCACACATTTAACTAGGGATTCCACTCACTCCGGGTACCAATTGCACATTGGTAACGGACTAACCACCCTGGGAAAAGCACTCAACGTTATATTGAAAGACGAATCCAGCATCCCTAAAGACATTTTACACCAGGAACTTGAGGGTAGAAGCAGCAGGTCGAGGTCTCGTGCCGATTCGCCCCATTACTTTAGGCGTTCTCGTTCTCGGCTAAGCCGTAGACGTTCAAGGTCCGGGGATGTTCCGACATGCACAATTGTGCATATTATGCACAATTTTACGAACATATGCACAAAATGCACCCCCCCCGCACAAAATTTGCACAATCGCCAATAAATAAAGTGCATTTTTTTATACAAAACTGGCAATACATTTTCTTAACAGCTTCTCGAATTGAATGAAATGTACTGTTAGACACAAACAAAATACGAATCCAGTATTTATTTGTTACACATTCGCGTCCCGATGATTGTTCATAATTGATAGCCTTAGTTAAATTTAATAAGCGGGGATTTGGAGGTTAATTCTCTCAGTTCCTTGAGTAGTCTTGCCAGGGAAAAAGTCTTTGACAGATTCTGCACGAATATTGGCGGCTCTTTTCCACGATATTTCGAAAACAAGGAAATATTTAATTAGCCCAGTACTTAACAAATCAGTTAAAGAACTGACTGAAAATACCATACCTGGTGAAATTTTGTTTGGGCCAGATTTAGGTGAACGAGCAAAAAATTTGAAATCTTTGGAAAAGGCAGGACAGGACTTACGTTTGTCTTCTAACCCCTCACGCATTAGCTCTCAATCAGCGTGGGCCTTCAATCATTCCGAAAGAAGAGGGGGGGGGCATCTCGTCCAAGAATGCAGGACCTTCAAACAGGTATCGCCCGTCTTACCGCAAGAGGGAGGTGAGGCAATACAAGGGTCATTCCTCGAAACAGTTTCCTCAGAACAGACAACAGCAAACCAGGAAACGCTGAAGGTAAAACAAGTTCCGTTTGCTGGCCGTTTACAGTTTTATTTGGACTCTTGGTCCAAACTAACCTCAAATTTGACAGTCTTATCCTGGATTCAAGGTTATAGGATTCCCTTTAAAGACAACCTTCCATCATGCCACCACTTGGTTAAAAATATTTTTTTCCCTACAGAAACATCGCTAGTAAGATTAGCTATAAACGATTTGTTAAGGTCCGGAGCCATACTCAAATCTGAGTCAAGGCCCGAACAATTTATCTCTCCACGTTTCCTAGCAGATAAATCCAGCGGTGGAAAAAGGTTTACTTTAAATCCAAAACAATTAAATAAATATGTGGAATGTCCGCATTTTAAAATGGAGGACCTACGAACGGCTATTAAAGTGACTCACAAAAACGTGTATATGTGCGCAATCGACTTGAAAGATGCATACTTTTTGGTACCCGTTCACAATGACCATCAACCATTCCTTAAATTTCCATGTGAAGGTCAATTATACCAATTTACCTGCATACCGTTCGGGTTATGTACATCTCCGTTATGCTTCACAAAACTCATGAAGCCAGTCGCCTCTTTTCTCCGCACTTTAGACATCTCTACAGTCAATTACCTAGATGATTTCCTAATATTCGGAGATTCCTATGAATCCTGTCTCAAACATGTCAACACAACCATTTGTCTTTTAAAATCGTTAGGTCTTATAATCAATAAAAACA